CATGGGAAATTATAATCACTGCTTTTACAACTGGGTATGATCCTGTGAAATTCTGTCTGTGCTCTTGGTGAGAAAGGAAGGAGGAGGACAGACAGATCAGAAGGACAGATGGATCAATCCTGCTGGAGAACAAATCAAAACGAATGTTCTACTAATGGAAGATTACTGACATTTACTTTTATGAAGGACTTAGAGAAGTTTGCAAACATACTGCGATTTTTAAAAAGATGACTTACTGAGTTATGAAGAAAAAAGTAAAAAAGGACCTGTTATTAAAAAGATATTTTCCTTGGGGCACCTGGGTGGCTCAGCCAGTTAAGCGTCCAACTCTTGATTTTGGCTCAGGTCATGGTCTTGGGGTTGTGAGATCAAGCCCTGTGCTGGGTGTCTGGGTGTCTGGGTGTCAGGCTCCACCCTGAGCATAGAGTTTCCTTGAGATTCTCTCTCTCTTTCCCTCTGCTCCCCCCCGCCAAAAAAGACATTTGCCTTTTGCCTGATGAATGTGGACTGGTTGTCCCATTAGTTCATATATACTATTAGTCTAAATATATTCTGTGGTAGACTGAATAATGGCCCCCAAATATGTACATTGTTTTCATTCCTTGAATACACAAATGTTACCCTACATGGCAAAACAGATTTTGTAGATATGATTAAGTTAAGGATCTTGAGTTGGGGAGATTATTCTAGATTATCTGGATGGGGACAATGCAATCAAAAGGATCCTAGTAAGAGCGAAGCAGGAGGACAAAAGTCAGAGGAGACTGGAAGACACTGTGCTACTGGTTTTAAAGATGTAGGAGGGGATCATGAGTCAAGGAATGCAAGTAGTACCTTCTAGAAACTGCAAAAGGCAAAGGAACAGCCTGTCCCCTGGAGTGTCCAGAGGAATGCAACCCTGCTGATAGCTTAATTTCAGCCCAATAAAACCCATTTAGGACTTCTGACCCACGAAACTGTAAGATAATAAACTGTGTTGTGTTAAGTCACTAAATTTGTAGCACTTTGTTAGGACAGCACGTTTCCATTAATACATTCATTAATCTGCACCTAACCTATGGAGACACTAATTTGAAATCAACAGGAACAGAGCTTTACTTCTAGTTCTCTTGGATTACAGCCGGAACTATCCTAGGAAAAGTGATTTATTTTAGGTTAGGGGTAGGAAAAAAGATAAGATGAATCGAGAGAGCATCTTTTGGTATCAGAAAGTGGAGAATTCAAAAAAAAGAAAGAAAGAAAGTGGAGAATTGCTCAAAAAGGATTGGGGGTAGATCAAAAGGGTACAGATACTAACCTGAAAAAGCTACCTATGGCTAAAGCTCCAGCAAGTTGAACAACAAAATAATGATGGATTATAACTCCCCAAATGAAATATGTGTACTTATGTGTCTACAATGAAATAAATATATAGATACATGAAGAATGGACAATTCCATTGAATTATGTTGAAATTAATATGGGAAAAGGGTGCCTGGGTGGCTCATCGGTAAAGTGTCTGCCTTCAGCTCAGGTCATGATCCTGGGGTCCTGGGATGGGGCCCTGACCCTGTCGTGGTCAGGCTCCCTGCTCAGTAGAGTCTGCTTTTGCCTCTCCCTTTGCCCCTCCCCCCACCTCATGCACATTCTCTTGCAAATAAATAAAATCTTTAAAAAGAATGAATATGGGAAAGTTTGAGGAGGAGCAGACTATTTGCAGTGCTCAAAGTATGCCTCCCAAGATACATTTTAATTACACGCGAAATACAGTACATCTACAGTGGAGAAGCCCAGAAGACACCAGCTTAAGCAAGTAATCAAGATTAATAATCACTAGTGTGGCAAGCAGTATTCTAAGATGCCAGCTCATTCCCTCTGTCCTCCTTACCTTTGTCTTTAAAGATTTTATTTATTTGAAAGAGAGAGAGAGTGCACAGGCAGGGGGTAGGGGCAGAGGGAGGGGAAGAAGCAGGATCCTGGATCAACAATCCCATGACCTGGGCCGAAGGGAGATGTTCAACTGACAGAGCCCCCCGGGCACCCCTGTCCTTGCTACCTTTGATATATATGCTTTGCACCCAGGCTGTGAATATAATGGATCTTAATCCTGTAATTAGGTTATATGATGTGACAGTCAAATGGGAGATTATCAGTTCAGGCCTGACCTAATCATAAGGGCCTTTTAAACCTGGGCCTAGGAGTCAGAGTTTGGAGGTGTGACAGGGATTGTCTGGGAGCTTCCCCTCTCCCCCTGTAGATGGAGGTGCCATACAACTAGAATGTGAGAGGGGCCTCCAGGGAAGGGAATGACCCCTGCCTGCCAGACAGCCAGAAAAGAGTTGGGTCCTATAACCAAGAAACCAAAGTCAGCTAACAGCCTGAACGGGCTGGCAAGAGGACTACCAGTTCCAAATGTGAACGCGACCCAGCCAACACCTTCATTTCAGCCTTATAAGACCCTGAGCAGACAGCCCAGCCACACTCTGCCTGGACCCCTCACCTCTAGAAACCTCAAGATAATACATGGGTGGTGTTTCACGGTGCTGGGTCTGTGGTGATTTACTCCAACAGCAGAAGAAAACGATACAACCAGCTGTAACACATCTTAACATCACACCCCTGATAGGATGCTCTGAAAAGGACACATCACGTCTGCCAAAACTACATTACCTCTTCTGATCATGAGAAAACCTAAGAGAAATCCAAATTGAGAGACATTCTACAAAATGACTGACCACTACTCTTCAAAATGGTCAAGGTCATGAGAGAAGAAAAGACTGAGTGGAGTGGAAAAAGGACATTAGTGGTAAACTCATGAAATCTGAATAAAGTCTGTAGTTTAGTGATAACAACAACAAAATAAAACACCTGGACCTAGCTATTTCCTTCCAGAACTGGGCTAGTCTATGTAACCATAAGCAATTTACTTGCTAACTCTTGGTTTTTCCAATTGTTAGGAAACACGAGGGATCCCTGGGTGGCGCAGCGGTTTAGCGCTTGCCTTTGGCCCAGGGCGCGATCCTGGAGACCCAGGATCGAATCCCACGTTGGGCTCCTGGTGCATGGAGCCTGCTTCTCCCTCTGCCTGTGTCTCTGCCTCTCTCTCTATATCTGTGTGACTGTCATAAATAAATAAAAAATTAAAAAAAAAAAAAAGGAAACACGAAAAGCATATTTATAATGGGACTTTAAGATGCTGAGCTGAGGAGGGCCTGGGTGGTTCAGTCGGTTGAACATCTATCTGCCTTGGGTTCAGGTTGTGATCTCAGGGTCCTGGGATCAAGTCCTGCCCGGGCTCCCTGCTCAGTGGGGAGCTGCTCTCCCTCTCCTGCTTGCTCTCTCTGTCAAATAAATAAAATCTCTCTCAAAAAAAAAAGATTCTTAGCTGAAATAGTAACAGTCATGTTGCTTTTTATTTGTTTTTAAGTAATTCTATTTTCTTGTAACGTAGCTTAATTTTGGAAGAGTTGGTGTGTTTTGGAAGACAGTATGCTTCAATATTGTAATGATTTTGATGCAATATTACAAATTAATGAAAGCAAATATGATTTGTTTTGTTTTAGAGAGTGGGTGTGTGCACGGGAGTTGGGGGGGAGGGGGAGAGGGAGAGAGAGAATCGGAAATCAAGAGGCAGATGCTTAACCAACTGAGCCAGCCAGGTGCCCCTAAACCAAATACTATTAATGAATATAATCCAAAAATGAAAATCTGGACAGCTTAGTACACTGTGGAGCCTTTTTGTGGCTGTTGCTTTGAGGTTTGCTTTTTTCTTTTACTTCAAATTAAGGAGTTGACATAAACAAATACACAAAATCTTTTTGCAGTTCAAATGAATATTAGGTGATGGGAAGTGGGGTAACTGGATGATGGGCATTAAGGAGGTCATGTGATGTAATGAGCACTGCATGTTATATAAGACTGATGAGGGGGATCCCTGGATGGCTCAGCAGTTTAGCGCCTGCCTTTGGCCCAGGGGGTGATTCTGGAGTGCTGGGATCGAGTCCCACGTCGGGCTCCCTGCATGGAGCCTGCTTCTCCCTCTGTGTCTCTGCCTCTCTCTCTGTGTGTCTCTCATGAATAAATAAATAAAACCTTTAAAAAAAAAAAAAGACTGATGAATCACTGAACTCTACCTCTGAAACTAATACATTTTATGTTTATCAATCGGATTTAAATTTAAAAAACACTAGGTGTTATTGCAAAAACCAAATAAAGGAATTAACATTTCAGAAATTTTCTGAACTCAAGTTAGGATAAAGAGAGGGGAGCAAAAAAAGATTCAGTAACACACCATCCAAACAGTTTGATTCAGAAAAGATAGGAGCCTGGGGCAGCTGGGTGGTTCAGTAAGTGAAGCGGCTGCCTTTGGCTCAGGTCATGATGCCAGGGTCCCAGGATCCAGTCCCACACTGGACTCCCTGCTCAGCGGGGAGCCTACTTCTCCCTTTGCCCCTACCTCTGCTTGTGCTTTCTCTCTCAAATAAATAAAATCTTTAAAAAAAAAAAAAAAAAGAGGAAATCTTCCAATTGAAAGAAATAAAGGATAAATGGCCTGCAAAGACTATTTACGTGAGCTACATGATACTAAGTATCATGAGTCTCTTTCCCTACAATTTTTTCTGTTAGCTTTATTTCAGAGAGATGGACACCTAATGTAAGGACTGAATGATAATTTATCACATCATCAGTGATCACTGTGCAGAGTATTCTAAACTTTGCTGCTTATACATTTTAGGTACATAATTCTTCCCTCCTTCCTCCACAGACAGAAACATAATGCTTACCATTTCTAGCTCAAGACTGGCTTAACGGCCTCCTCTGAGGTTAATGTTAACATCGTTCTGGACAGAGTAACAGGAAGCATCTGGGTATCTTACCACAAACTGAGATGATCCCTTCTTTCACCATTTGAAGTACAAATTCTGTTGGTATTAAATTACTTAATTCCTTCTGCTTTATTCATTAATACATTAAAACATTCAGATATATAAAACATCATAAAAGCTCTGGGAAAACCAAAATGATTTATGACTATGTAAATATTTATTTTGTCCTTCCCAGTTGGTCAATATTGATTTTTTCTATTTATTTATTTTTAAAGTTTTAATTTTAATTCCAGTTACTTAACATATAGTTATATTAGTTTCACGCGCACAATACAGTGATTCAACCCTTCCAGACATCAGCCAGTGCTTATGACAAGTCCACTCCTTAACCCCCGTCACCTATCTCACCCATTCGCCTCACCCTCTCCCCATGAAAGCTATTCTTACAAATCTTTGGTTTTTATTTCTAGAACCATCTATGGCTACAGGAAAACTCAGGGAATAATGTTAGTCAATTAACAGCTGCCACGTTACCTAGGGGAGCAGATGGTATAATTGATCATGTCCTACAAAATGGGGAAGGGAATACTTAAAAACAGTTCCTCAAATATGCCACAGAGTTTCCACACAAAAGGCAATAATGAAAACCATATTTTTCTCTTGTATGTTTGGTTTTACTTCAGGTGATATTCTTAGACTGTATTTTTTATTTTTAACCTGTAAGTTTTTCAATATTAAGTGACATTAGTCATTTAAAAAGAGAGTTTTCATACAGATTAGTCATTTAAAAAGAGTTTTTAGCAATAAAAAATGTACAACAAGGGGCAGCTGGGTGGTTCAGTGGCTGAGCATCTATCTGCCTTTAGCTCAGGTCATGATCCCAGGGTCCTGGGATCGAGTCCCGCATCAGGCTCTCCACAGGGAGCCTGCTTCTCCCTCTGCTTATGTCTTTTGCCTCTTTCTGCCTCTCATGAATAAATAAAATCTTAAAGAAAAAAAAAGAATGTACAACAGAAATAACCCAACAGAAAAATGTAGCATACTTAGCACCACTCCCAGATTTTTTAGCTAGACTATAATAATAATGGACAATTGGAATATAATCCTTAAGGGTGACTGGCATAGTTAGAATTGTACAGATACTATTTTACTCATCACCTTGGACTCTGAGATTGACAGATAGTCCACATATGCTTCCTTAGTACCCTTCTCATTTAACCTATTGACTAACTCTATCTTCATTATACAATTGTCTCAAAGCCATTGAACTGGTGAAGAATTCAAAATCTCAAATATTAATTTAATAAATATTTATGGTGCATATTTTGTGGCAAACACTGTTCTAGATGCTTAGTGAACAAAATTTTTTAAAAAAGAAAAGGAGGGGTGCCTGGTTGGCTCAGTTGGTAAAGCATCTGACTTTTGATCTCCAGGTCATGAGTTCAAGCCCCATGTTGGATGTGAAGCCTAGTTTAAAAAAAATAATAAAATTTAAAAAAATTTTTTAAAGATTTTATTTATTTATTCATGAGAGAAACACAGAAAGAGGCAGATACACAGGCAGAGGGAGAAGCAGACTCCCCCAGAAAGTCCGATGTGGACTCAATCCTGGGACCTCGGGATCATGACCTGAGCCAAAGGCAGACACTCAACCACTGAGCTACCAGGCACCCTAAAAATTTAAAAGAAAGGAGGCGGGGGAATACCCTAGCTTTCATGGAACATAAGTGTATGTTCTCCCAGTGTGGAGCTCAACACAAGGCTTGAACTCATGACCCTGAGATCAAGACCTGAGCTGAAATCAGAAGCCACCCAGGCACCACAGAACTTACATTTTTTAAGTGGGATCTGTATAAAATAAAACATCTCCAAAACAGTAATTCTATTCTCTCTTGCCAGACAGAAGCCACTTGAGGGGAGAGGCTACTGTTTCCCCAATATCCTAATCATAGTGCCTCGCACACCATGATTCATAGGTACTCCTTGAATAATTAAATAGCAGAAGATCCTTTTTACTTAAATATAAATAATAGTTCTTCATAGCCAGTCGTATCTGTTCGAATTTTTCAGCTTGCCTTTCAAAGTCCCCTTAATTGGGCCCTGCCCTATGTCTTTTTCAGCACACAATTTGTTGTACTACAGAGAAGACATACTCACTCCTGCTTTATTTACCATATGCCACTTCCTCTGCCCCAGGTAACTAAAAACCTTCTCCAGTTATTTTATTTTTAAATATTCTATTTACCTATTTTACAGAGAGAAAACAAGCAGGTGGAGCAACAAAGAGGGAAAAGCAGGCTTCTCGCCAAGCAGGGAGCCTGACTCAGGGCTCGATCCCAGGACTCCTGGGTCATGACCTGAGCAGAAAGCACTCTTAACCCACTGAGCCACCCACGTGCCCCTAAAACCTTCTCCATTGAGATTCAACAAACACTGATCTAGGATCTTCTGTGTGCCAGGGCTGTGCTAGAGATTTCCATATATCTTCTTGGATCTACATAAGCATACTCTCACATTCTAGGGAGAGAAAGACTTGGCTCTGAGATCTGAGAGTGGCCCAGCTACTATGAGGCAGGCCTGAACTTCGACAACAATCCGGAGCACCTTTCGCTCCTTGCTCTGCCCCTTTGGTTCCCTATTATGAGCCCTTGCTTGTTCTCCTGGGCTTCCTTGATCTTACCTACCTTTGCAGCTAGATTATAAGCTCCCTGTGCCCAACTGGGTACCATATTTTACTACCCTACAGAGCCTGAGTGCCATGCCCAGCAAGCACTCAGTAAATACTTCACTAATTGAAGGAAGGCTAACCAATTTGGGCTGAGTATCCTATTTTCATAACCTTTGCAATAAAATCCATCTTTTTTTTTCTTTAAAAATTTCATTTCTAAGTAATCTGTACATTCAATGTGGGGCTTGAACTCACAACCCCAAGATCAAGAGTCACATGCTCTATGAAGGAACTAGCCTGATACCCAACAAATTCCATCTTTCAAATTAAGTTTCACAGGGTCAGAACTTGCTGTGTGAAAAAACAGCAACTTTTTTCCTTTTAGTTTTAAATACCTCACCTGAGATTTTAGTTATCTCTGGCTTACAGGTAAACAACTTAAAGTTCAGCTCATCTTCCTTCACTGCCTTTCATCACAACCCTGTTCAGTTTATTTTCCAAGCATGGAGGTCCTAGTGTTTCCAGGTTTTCTATCATTCTTGGACCACACAATGGCCTCTTTACGTCTTTGAGTTCCAACATGGTAAAACTGCACGGCAACTTGCATTTTCATGAGATAACCTAGCCAGTGTCATGTGTTCTCATCAGCCAGTAGATGTGTCCTCAACATGTTTAGCTTGGCCAGCAGTTGAGAAAAAAATAAGAAACTTAGTATTTTTAAGCCTAGTGGTCTCAAGTTCCTCCTGGGTTCCACCTCTCCCTACAGTCTTCACCCCGGCCAGTTCGGACCTTTATCCTATATGTCAACTGTAAAGCCAACGAGAGGACAGGGCCTGTCTGCTTCACTTTTTAACCACTGCAGGACCCTACAAATTTCAGCCTGATTAATACATAGCAGTAGTAGCTCTTCAACTTCTTGTCCCAATCCACTGTAAAGATACTTATATGTGCTCATAACTGAAGAGAACTGTTTCATGAAATAAACTTTGACCACAATGACTCTGGATATTTTCTATTCTCTAGTATTCTATTCTTTAGTAGGTCATTAGCTGCAAAGTTGATTTCCTAAGTTCCCTGTTTCAAACACAACATGCCACAGAGGTTGAGGTCAGTTCTCTTGGCACTGCATCACCTAGTACGAGAAGACCCTTGTGATCATTTTCCGTTAGGGTCAAGTGCTAGGGAAATGCTTAGCAGTCTGGCACATAGCTCAGTGAATACATGTTTGTGGCTCTGTGTTGACTGAGACTGATCCTACTGTTAAAATATATACTTCAATCACATTTTTAAAAATTAAATTTTCATTTCATCAAAAGTACTAATAACTTTTTTTTAGTACTAATAACTTCAAAGAGAAATCTCACACAAATCCTCCAAGAAAAGTCAATATGTAAATAGGGTTTTAATTAACATATTTGTTCCTCAATACTTTGGAAATCGATTTTAGAGCAAAGCCCCTTTTCAGTTTTTTTTTTTTTTTAAGGTTTTATTTATTTATTCATGAGAGACACACAGAGAGAGAGGCAGAGATTCAAGCAGAGGGAGAAGCAGGCTCCATGCAAGGAGCCTGATGTGGGACTCGATCCCGGGTCTCCAGGATCATGCCCTGGGCTGAAGGTGGCGCTAAACTGCTGAACCACCCCGGCTGCCCTCTTTTCAGTTTTCTAATTAAAGTCCTACTTTGATTCCAGTCACTTTCTATAAATTCAGGGAAAAGAAATAGAAATGTTCAGTGAATGGAGTGGCTGTTAGGTGTCAGGTAGTATACTACATATGGTCCTCTAAGTCATCTTATTCAAGCAGTAGTCTTAAGAATGAGGGCACTGAGGCCTGAGAGTTTAGGGAACTTGCCTGTTTGTATAGCTAGTGAATAAATATTAGCTACGGGATTCACACATGGTTTTCTAAACCCCACACTTTAACCTAACACTGTGTTTGCATTTTAAAACAATGAACTAATACCTGTCTGATAAAATTGCTAGTTGGAAATGTTATATGTGTCAAACATCCACTATTTCCTTTGTGGGGTTGCTCTTTTTGGAGATATTTCATAATCTGGGGTGTCTCAGTGATGTCTGGTCAGTCAGGCATCCGACTCTTGGTTTGGGCTCAGGTTGTGATCTCAGCGTCATGAGATAGAGCCCCTCATTAGGCTCTGGGCTCGGCATGGAGTTGGCTGAAGATTCTCTCTCCCTCTCCCTCTGCCCCTAAACGCTAAGCTCTCTCTCTCAAATAAAATAAGTAAATCTTGGGATGCCTGGGTAGCTCAGTGGTTGAGCGTCTGCCTTCAACTCTGATTGTAACCCTGGTGTCCCGGGATCCAGTTCTGCATCAGGCTCCCTGCGAGGAGCCTGCTTCTCCCTCTGCTTATGTTTCTGCCTCTCTCTGTGTGTCTGTCATGAAAAAATCAATAAAATCTTTAAGAAAAAAAAATCATTAAACAAAAAGATATTTTATAATCTTTTTATGCTTATCAGAAAAATCTTTGTTAAATACTCCTATGGAAACTTTTTTTTAAAGGATTTTACTTATTTATTCATGAAAGACACGAGAGAGGCAGAGACACAGGCAGAGGGAGAGAAGCAGGCTCCCACACTGTGTGCCCGAAGTAGGACTTGATCCAGGTACCCCGGGATCACGCCCTGAACCAAACACTCAACCACTGATCCACCCAGGGGCCCCCCTCATATTGAAACTTAAATGCATCTCATTCTTTAGAATGGTTAATGAATGAGGGTTTAACTAGTCACAATATTCTGTTGTGTATTCTGTGGGTACTCTTCCTGTACTCCATTTTATATTTAATACCTTGACTGAATCTGAAGGACACACCAAAATCTCAGCTAAACCTAGAATTCTTTATTGTAGACTGTCAACTATGTGGGTATTCAAAACTATCTCGAGGGGCACCCACCTGGCTCAGTAGGTAAAGCATGAAACTCTTGATCGTGGCGTTGTAAGTTCCACCTCCATGATGGGTGTAGAGATTACTTAAAAATAAAATCTTAAAAACAAAACTATCTGGAAAAAAAAAATCAGTGGACTGTTTCTGTTGTAATGTAGATATTTGGTATGCCATAATCTTAGTCTCCTTTCATCTTTTTCTGTGTTGAGGTCAACTTGTGACTAGTGCTGCTAAGCCCACTGTCTTGGTAGTGTTTCAAAACAAAACAAAAAACAAAACCCCACTCCCTGACCTTGAGCCATACTGCCTGTAAGGTGTTTAATGGCAAGCAACCAAAAAGGGCAGTTAACCTTTACATAACACTTATTACCTGCCGTGGGTCTCACAGGCACTATACCACTGAATCTTAGGACAATACAGTAAGGTAGGTATTATTATTATTTTCATTTTGACAAATGAGGAAACTGAGAGGTTAAATAGCTTGCCCAGGATCACACCACCAAAGAAAGTGGTAAAGCCAATTCCCTAAACCAGATGGCCTTGACTGGAGATTAAGCTCCTAACCACTTCACGCTCTTTTGCACAGAAGGAACAGGCATGGAAACAAATAAGCAAACTCCCCCTAAAGAACCTAGAAAACAATGCATTAAATTAAGAATAAGGTCACTGTAGACTCAGGTTGGCACCAGAAGGCTTTTGGGATAAGATTTTGAGGAAGGCATCAAAGCAGAGTGGGAATAGGGCATCAAGACAAGAATGGCCATGGCTTGCTGTGTGGGGCAAAAAACCAGCCTCAGCCTAATAGAAGGATGAGGTTGGATAATTTTTAGTACAATCTTTTTTTTTTCTTTTAAGATTTTATTTATCTATTCATGAGAGACACACAGAGAGAGGCAGAGAGATGGGCAGAGGGAGAAGCAGGCTTCCCGTGGGGAGCCTGATGCAGGACTCGATCCCAGGATCCCGACCTGAGCCAAAGACAGACGCTCAACCACTGAACCACCCAAGCATCACAATTTTTAGTGGAATCTTATTTGAAGTAAATAATAATAAAATAAAATAATAAAATAAAATGCAAATACCTACTTGTAAGCTCACATAGCACCCAAACATGCATAAAATAAACACTATATAGTTAAGGTAAAAAGTACAATTTTTGGTTACGGAGGTTTTCCCTCCTGGTGTACAACTGGCCTTACCCTTTAATAATTAATCAGCTTATTTCCCTCACCTGAATTTGAATCAAGCTACTTGAGTTGTGTTAATAGTAATTTCTTATTGGGGCGCCTGGGTGGCACAGCTGGAGAAGAGCCTGACTCTTGGTTTCGGCTCAGGTCAGACTCTCATGGGTCCTGAGATGCAGCCCCAAGTGGGGAATCCGCACTCAGTTGAGAGTCTGCTCCAGATTCTCTTCCCTGCGTCCCATCCCACCCGCGCCTCTCACGCTCTCTAAAATAAATAAATAAATATTAAAAAAAAATAGTAACTGTTTACTTTAATTGAATGAAAGAATCTCCCCCTTTTCCCCCACCCTTACTACTGAATTCTGGTGGTCTCTAACAAATACATGGCAAAGATGTTACAGTACAGGAAGTCCAGTGTTACTAATGAACATGTTCCAGAACATCACTGTCCATTAGCTGTTTCGAACCTGGAATTTATTTTCCCATGGACATAGTGGTTAAGTTCCCAGTGGGTCTACATAAGCTCCCTTAACCAGGAATGCAGCAGAAATGAACACTATAATCTTTGCGTTGACCTCTGCCTGTTATTCTGAGGGCTCTATGGATTTCTCTTCTTACTACAAGGTCTTAGCTAACAACCACTTTGGGGACAGTTTTCCATTGTCAATTATAGAAAAGGCTGACAATCATTTATAATTCTAACGTAAATCCAATCATTCATACTGCTTTTGGGTGCTTCCTTTTACTAATCATTACTTAAAATGCAACTTCAGTTGGAGAGTTGTTTTCCTTAACGTAGGTTAATAGTCTATAGACCACCCCCAGAATGCCAACAGCCGAGGCTAGGAGGTTACATTCTTCTGCCTATGGCATGATAAGGTGGCTAAATGGCACCAGGGACACGTCTTGCCCCTGCTGCTGCCGGTGACCAACAGGGTCCTGGAAGGTATCTTTTGGACCTTGTGGGAATTAAAAAAGAAACAAACAAAAAACCCCAAGATTTTCTTGGTTTCTGGCTTGGCATCAGGTAGTAATTCTCAGGTACCCTGGGTTAGGTGTTAGGACTTGAGAGATTACCTGATCATGTGTGTTTTGACTACAGTTGAATCCATATTACAGAAATTTCATACTTAAATCATCTAAAGCCATGTTGTGGACGTCTGCCAAACATGCTGGTCTCAGAAACATTTTCTTGCAGGGCACAGTAACCACAATAAAACCAAATCTTTGTTTCAGATAGATATATTACCAACAAATGTTTCCAAAACAGAAATGCTTAAAGTGAAAAAAAAAAAATTGTGTCTATGGCCATTGTAATAGTGTGGTTTTAAAAAAAACTTTTAGGCTCTGTACACACGCCCTACTTCTACCTTTTCACCTCCTTGGGAATTTTTACACCGGTAGGGACTTCTGATGTGACTTTAGAGTCTGTCTTTAGAAATGTTATGATAAATATCTATATAATTAGGGAAGGTTTATATCCATACCCTTTTCCCCCCACGAAAACCCCATGTATAATTTGTATAACCACGTCTGCTGTCAGGGTATTTTTTTTTTTAGATTTTATTTATTTATTCATGAGAGATACATGGAAAGAGGCAGAGACATACGCAGAGGGAGAAGCAGCAGGCTCCTTGGAGGGAGCCCAACTCAGGACTCGATCCTAGGACCTCATATTCACACCCTGAGCCGAAGGCAGATGCTCAACCACTAAGGCACCCAGGTGCCCCAGTCAGTGACTTTTTAAACACTTAATGATTCTGTCAGCAAACATTTGTCAACAAAGGCATGGTTTTATTGCTTAAAGACATCTAATACATTAAACATGCATAAATCTTTCATTTAAATTTACAGTCTATGAATGAGATGTTTTAAGACTATAGGTGGTGTTTCCTTAATAACTTCACTATAAGTGTTCATAATAGGTGGTTAATTTTTACAATAATAATTAATACCAAAATGCAGATCAGTGAAAGATTCTAATATAGCAAAAACATTAAGGCAAACATTTCCTGTTTCAACTAAAGGCCAAACTGCTTGTGAAATTAAGACACAGTAACAGAATGAATAAAACACTACGGCTTCAAGTATCATTTCAGTAAAACTCAATTGACAATTTGCATTCCTCAAAAGAACAGAGACCTAGTTACTAGACCTCAGCAAGGTGAGACAGGCCATTGGTTGCCACTAATGAAGGGAGCTCCCATTGCTGGCTACTCAAAATTTGGTTTTGGCATAGAGCATGAGGCAGGAATTTAGCATTTCCAGATAGAGCTGTGGTAGGCACCTCGGAAATTCTAAAGCACAAGAATTTGAAATCTTTTTTAGAAAGTTTTAAAGCCAAGGTCTACGCCCCTTGAAATGTAGACAGTTCTCCTAACTGTATTTAAATGAAGAAAGCAGGAGGAGGGGGCAGCCCAGGTGGCTCAGCCATTTAGCGCCACCTTCGGCCCAGGTTGAGATTCCGGAGACCCGGGATGGAGTCCCATGTGGGAGCCTGCTTCTCCCTCTACCTCTGTCTCTGCCTCTCTCTCTCTGTGTGTCTTCCATGAATAAATAAATAAAATATTAAAAAAAAAAAGGAGGAGGAGGAGGAGAGAAAGGAGGGAGCTCTTGCGGGTATTAAATGAGAGCACAGATATGAAGTGTTTGGCAAGGTTACCAAAATGCAGTAGGGGCTCAATAATATTAGCCAAATTTGAGTACTGGGAATTTTACTAGGCAAAAATCGGTTTATTTAAGATTAATTATGGCAGTAGTTTGTTGTTTTTTTAAAAGATTCAACTTATTTATTTGAGAGAGAGAGAGAGAGAGAGAGAGAGAGAAGCAGACTCCTTGCTGAACAGGGAGCCTGAGTTGGGGCTCGATCCCAGGACCCTGAGATCATGATTTGAGCCAAAGTCCCCCACTTAACTGACTGAGCCACCCACGAACCCTAGTTGTCAGTAGTTTTGTTACCATTTGCAGCTTCTAGGAATTATGGAGACACAGCACCTAATAGGAGTTCAATGATCGACTAAAATACTGACCAAATTCACCAATATTGCAAATATAGTGAGACTTCTTCTTGGTTAGGCTGTAATTCCCCAAATCTGGGTTATTTAGCTCAACTGGTGGATAAACATGATGGATTATAGCCATATACACACCAAGCTTTATAGAGAGAAAGACACTGACATGCTAAGATTATGCATCATATCCCATATCCCTATCATGCAAATAAGTTTGTGGGACACAACAGGGATTGCAGAAAAGGGTGCAGTCAGCTTAAAGTGAACACATCTTAATTTCTTGAAAAATGCAAAGCATACCTATAAAGTCGCATCATATAGAAGAACAAGTTTGAAACACGTTTTTCAAGTCTACTGGAGTTCTACGTTAAGGCAAGTAATTTCCTTGTTAGACCAACGTGCTTGATCTCCAAATGTTTTTTTAAAAACTCGTAGATAGGCAGCCCGGGTGGCTCGGCTCAGCGGTTTAGCGCCACCTTCAGCCCAGGGCCTGATCCTGGAGACCCAGGATCGAGTCCTCCCTGCATGGAGCCTGCTTCTCCCTCTGCCTCTCTCTCTCTCTCTCTATCTCTCTGTGTGTGTCTCTCATGAATAAATAAATAAAATCTCTTAAAAAAAAATCCTTAACTTAAAAAAAAATGTAGATAGAACACAACTTCACAGTTGAGGTTTCCAAGACGACAGGAATCAGTTTTCTTTCATTACTTTAGATTTTTCTACTAAGGAAACAACAACAAAAAAAGACCACTAAAGAAAACCCAATCTACTCAGGTACTATATTCAAATTTAGATGATAAAGATGGGGGTCAACATGAAAGTAATAAATATCTGATATATGCATTATCTGGACTCACTTTAACATTATGGGAACTTCCAAATTTGGAAGCTCAAAAAAGAAATATTTTTAAGTGGAGTCACCAACTGATGACTAAGTGCTTTGCAATACATTTTAAATAAGAGAAATGAAGTATTCTGCTGATTCAAGGCACTAATTTGACAAATCCATTCCCACTGGGCTAGCCAACATGTCAGAAAAAAGTAACTTTTAGTCCAAGATTCGATTCATCGTTCCCTATAGAACATCCAAAAAGATTCTCTGGTCACTTTCTAGTATTCTTCTCTTTCTTTGCAAAAATAGAAAAGCATCTCTGTAATAATTTCTTCTCCTCCAATAATAAGAGTTCTATGGGAATTGTTGCAAGGGGGCGGCACTGGTCTTCTCTCACCTCTGTGCCACCTGCCTCAGTTTTGTGCGACTTTGATCCCAGTTAAGCGTCGCTCATTAAGAAAAAGTAGACCCGTGACATCCCCTGCAACATCTTAAAAGTAATTTATACAGGCTGGAAGCACGCTGGGAGTCACCAACTAACAACACAGCAACTCCAACAGAAACAGAGTTTTCTCCGTCTGCGACACAGAAAGTGGACAGCAACACGTGCGATGCACCCAAGATCCAGGGAATCCAACTAGGAAACCCAGTATCGGGATATAACCAGCACATTTTTCTTAATAAAAGCAATTCTAAAGAAAGTCTAAAGCTGTCTTTCACATCTATTTCCAGTTTTACCTTTCTTCCTGGGTAGACCATCACAGAATCAGAATCATTTCCAGGACCGTGGTCAGTGATGCTTCAGTCCTATTTAACCTCTCCCGTGATCTCTGCCTCGGTGGGCACTGTGCAAGACCAACAGCTGTATCACGCCTTCCTGGAACACTTAATAGGCTTGATTCCCATTGCTTTGAGGAAAGGGAGACAAAAGAAGGCACCCCTTAACCATGGTCTTTTATGCCATCTCAGTGTTGAGGCCAACACCTAATACCCATTTTCCTACACAAGGCAACCTGTAAATAGGTAAAAACACACAGACAGACGAAGTGGCTAGTGCAAATGTATAAACTGACCCCCACCTCCCCCCACAGACATAGAACTTGGCTCTGCAATGGAGAAAAAAAAATCATGGTTAGTTAGCCTGGAAAAATAAAATTAAAATTAAAACACCACTGCCAACGACATGGACCCCCCCCCAAAAAAAATTTTTTTTTAAATAGAAAATAGAAAAACAATAATCACCGGAAAACCTGTGTCTTGTAAAGATTTCTTTCCAGCAGAAGATGCAGAAACATCCCCCCCTCTCCCCCCGGGGGTGCCACGGAGAGGGTTTTTCTCAAGCACCCCCGGGGTCTTCCCCGCTCCCCCCGCCCCAGGCGCCGGTGTAGACGGCCGGTGTGGACGGTTTTCCGGAGATGAGAAGTCGAGATGTGTACTTTATCGGGAGCGGGTGCACTTTTCCCCCCGGCCCCCCTTTGCTCGGCCTCCAAGATGGTAGGAAAGTTGTCGTTTCGGAGGCCGAGGAGCGGCTCTCTGGTGTTATGTCCTCGCAGTGCCTGTAGTGGTGCTGTAGGAGGCTGCCGCCTCTTCTAGTGCGGCCCCGGCAGCCCTGCCTTCTTGGCTGCAGAGTATATTCAGGGATTTCCCCTTAATAATCACCGACCCCGGGAGCACTTTTGAGTTTCCAAAATAAAAATATGATCCTCACCCCTCTTGCCTGACCGGGAAAGGCTCCCGCCGGAGCCCAGGGGGGAGCAGCAGCAGCGGCAGCCGAGCCTCCCGGTCCATCGCCAGCGCCTCTCACTCCGATCTGTCAGCCCGGCCGAGGGAGAAAGGGGGGAAGGAGGAGAAGAGAGAAAAAAAAAAAAAAAAAAAAAAAAAAAAAAAAAAGCAGCTGAAAGGTAAGCAGAGGCGGCCCGAGGCCCGGCCCACATCCCCGGGCTCCCGTAGGGCGGCGGGCAGGGCCGCGCGGGCAGGGCGGGCGGCGAGCGCGCTTACGTGAGGCCGGGGATCCGCCGGCCCGCGTCAGGCCCCGGGCAGAGGATGAAAGGGTGAGAGGGGCCGGCGCCGGGGCGGCGGGGCGGCGGGGCGGCGGGGGCGCGGGGGGGCGGCCCCGCGGGGCTGGGGGGCGGCCGGGCCCGGGCGGGCGGCGCGGCCTGCGCGGGCCGGGGTGTGCGTGGGGGGGTGCGCCGGGGCGGGGGGTGGCGGCGGCCGGCTAGGCCTCGGGCGGCCGGGCCCCTCCGCGGCCGCGCCCTGCCCCGCGCCCCGGGCCTCCGCGCGGCCCCCCGGCTCCCCCGGGGCCTCCGGGCGGGACGGCGGCGCTGCGGGGCCCGGGGCGCCCGGCCGGGAGGCTCCCCGCGGGGCGGCAGGCCTCGCAGTGGGCAATGGGCGCCCGCCCGCCCCTTCCCCCCGGTCTCCCGCACCCCCTCCTCCCCCTCCTCCCCGTCCTCCCCTTCCTCCTCTTCCTCCCCCCCCCCCCCGGGATTCCGGTAATAGTTGAATTTATTTATCCCCCCTCGGCGCTCCGGGCGGCCGGGCCGGGCCGGGGCGGGGCGGGCGGCCTGGCGGGCGTGGGGTGGGGTGGAGGGGCGGTGAGGAGTCAGGTGCAGCCGCGGCCCGGAAAGTTTCCTCTCAGGCCCGAATTGGGGGCTGCCCTCCTGGCGGGGAGCCCTGGTCCTAGCGCCCGCGACCCCCGAGGGCGCGGGGGGCAGCACTCGGCTAGTGGGCAACTCTTTGCCAGTTCCCGTCCGTCCAAGGTACTCCGCCCCTGCACCCCTCGCCCGCGCCCCACCCCGCTCCCCGGCGGGCCCTTCCCCGGCGGCCCTGCGGCCCGCGCGCCCCCACGCCCCCGCGACCCCGCGACCCCGGCGCCCCGGCTGGGGAGGGGGGCCCGCTCTGCCCCTTCGGAAAAAGTTTTCCAGGGAATTTTTTTTTTTTTTTTTTTTTGCTTATTAGTTAGTGACTGGGCTTTTGCTGTGGGAGAGGAGGAGGTAAATTCAGGTGGTATTTCTACCGGGCAGGCTCTCCTAATCGCCTCTCTCTCTCTCTCTCTCTCTTTTTTTTTTCTTTTAAAAAGCTCTTAGCCCCCGAAAGCGGGGGTGTTGGTTTCCGAGGAAGCACCCGCCGCCCCGCGTCCCTCCCGGACTCGCGTGGGTCTCGAGCCCCCGTCCTGGGCGGTCCCCGCGGAGGGAACGACGTAGGGAGCGGCGGGGAGACTGACAGGAGAGGGGGCTGCGCTGCTGCGGCGGCCCCCACCCCCACCCCCACCCCTCCCTCCCCTCCCTCCCCTCCCCACCCCCACCCCCCCCCCTCCCCTCCCCAGGCCTAGGAGTTTCCTGCCCTCTGTGGTCAGGGGCTGGTAATAAATCCGCCCCAGGAGTGGAGCCCAAGGGTGGGGTGGGGTGCGGTGCGGTGAGGTGTGTGTGTGGGGGGGAGACCCTGGTTGTCAGAACCCTCAGGAAGCCTTAAAAAAGATCAGGAGGAGGGAGAGGAGGTGGGCAGGGCAGCTCCTGACACAAGGTCTAACAGTTTAAGGATGAGTGGTTGATTTATCCTGACAATAATAACTCTTCGGATTTGTGGGATAGCCTTGCGTTCGATGGCTAGAGCTAGAAAAACGGGGGTTTTAAGAAGAATTTGTTATTGCCCCCGACTCAGAAGGGTCGGTGGAAGAGCCTCCCCCCCCCCCCAGGGAACTGAACATAGCTGACACAAGTGTGGTTTGGGTAAAAATTCTTTTTTTTTTTTTCTATGTTTAAACGGATTTAATTTTAGCTTGATTTCTGGTGCCATGAGCATTGAAAGTTGCAAAAAAAAAAAAAAAAAGTCAAAAAACTTAAAATTTCCAAATCTAGATTTCCTGGTTTTCAGGGATGGGATGTTTCCTGTGGCTACACTTAACCTCCTTCTGGTTGTTCTTTAGTATGGAAGTGGAAATGTTAATGGGCCCTGCCCCCACCACCAGCTCCCGGTGTGGGCAACTTTGGAGGTTATTTTTCCTCTTTTCATTTGTTCCTTTTTTACTACCCACCCTCCCCACCCCACCCCCTTTTTTTAGGGGGCCTAGGGCATTATGTTCTGTGGTTGAGAGTGTGTCCTGCCTCGCCTAGCAGGCTGTAGTTCCCCGGCGGAGGTGTTCCACGTTCTGGCCGCACTACCCCCAGAGCACTGTTACCTAGTGAAAAGCTGGCACTTGCAGGGCACTAGATAACCCATGACTTGGTCTGACTTCTGTCAGGCGTGGAAGTGAGACTCCTTCTGTGATTCTTACTAAGTGTGGCTTTCTTTTCCTTTTGTCTGCCTAAAATAAATCTCCTTCTGTCTCTCCACCATGACAGATATCCAGCCATTTAGCATTTTGCTTAAGAAAAGCTTGGTATTTGAGGTTGTATGGATTTCATACAAAAAATGCAAATTACATTTAATGGTTGTTTAACTTTATTGATTAACTGAAATTGCTTATTGACTTGGGCATTTTCATATACTTGCGCACCCAGAATTGCTACTTCTGTTATAGCTCGCCCTTATTTTTAGAGCATGTTGGATGGGAGAAAATCGTTCAGTGAGTCTCTTTTCCTAGAACATGTGAGGATTTAAAAAGATCTCTTTGCCCCATAATTCGATATCTTTAAGGGATATTGTGGACTTCTGAGCTTTCAAAAGCCTTACGTGTGTACAAATCCCAAAAGTTTTCTACTTTTCCCCGTCCTGTCCCAAACCTACATAAATTTCCTAATCTAATCGCCTCATGGGCTACTTTATTCTTGAGGGAATGGGAGGATTTGATTTTTTTAAAAAGTTACATTTTATTTGAAACTACTGAGACTTTCAGGGCAAATACTGAATTAATTTTAAATTGCCAAGGTAATATATTTTTCACCATTAAATATTTAGTTTCGAAATCAAAAGTAGATGTTTAATTTGTAAGTCTGAAATAAGCACGTTCTATTTCCTCTGAAGGATGGTATAAGGAAATTTGTATACTCCCACCCCAGCTATTTTCCTCAGCAAGTGATTTTAGAGAGAAACCGAATACTACTATTTTAGAGACATGAATTTTAGTTTATACGGATTTTAAAATTTTGAAGTCAGAGCACAGAAAATTAAACCTGTCGTTTCAAAAAAAGTGCTGATCCATTCATTCTTACCTGAGATGTTTCCCAAGGGTTCGAGGCTCTCACTATCCAGGTTTGGAACAGTAGTTCTAAATAATGAGAGGTCATTTATCTCTGAATGCAGTTGGCAACGTTCTCAGACATGTAACACCCCGTTTCTCCCCACATACACCTGGTAACTTGTAAACAATAGATGAATAGGTGAGACTGGGTCGGAGGCAGCCAATTGTCCCCAAAGCAGATACTCTGCTGCATATACAATGGAGTCACATTTAAGTCCTTGTAACTCATGCTATTGCCATTCTGCTTTGCAAAACAAACAGCAATGGAATCTCCTTCCCACTCCCATCAGGTACCCGTCTGTCCCAGAGTCCTCACAGTCATGGCTGATTTTAGAGATCATGCTTCTGGCTCTTGTGAGATACTTGCAGAGATAACTCTTGACTAAAGTTAAAACCTTAAGCCTCTATCTTTTCCCACCTTCACTTAATATGTCAGGCTATGTCGTTCTGATTCTTTCCCAGATTGTAGTTTGTTTTTAAACAGCTTCTCAGTTAACTTTTATTTGTAGTGTGGTATCCTGCAGTCAGACACATTTGGACTGGGCTTTGGGTTCTTTTTTTTTTTTTTTTTAAGATTTTATTGATTTATTCATGAGAGACACAGAGAGGCAGAGACACTGGCAGAGGGGGAAGCAGGGTCCCTGTGGGGAGCTCAGTGTGGGACTCTATCCCTGGACCCCAGGATCACCACCTGACCCGGAGGCGGACCAGACCCTCAACCACTGAACCACCCAGGCGTCCCTGGGCTTTGGGTTCTAATCCTAGCTCTTCCACTGGGTGGGCCACGTAATCTTTGGTTTCGTTATCTGTAAAATGAAATGTAACATTTTTTTATAGAAGTATTAGACGAGATAGCCCATGTGCGTGGCTCTTAGTAGGTGCTCATTAACTAGTCCCCTAACCCACCTTAACCTTTTTTTTATTAAAACATTTTTAAATACTGTCTCTCTTATTTGCCTGTTTTGGTTTTTTCTGACTAAAAGTCATGCTCATATTCATCCCGCCCAGACCTTATTTTTCACACTCAGGAGACAACCACTGTTAACATTTTTTGTTGTGTTCTCTCTCCTTGTGTGATTTTGTGTGTGTGTGTGTGTGTACTTGCAACACACTCTTAGGATCTTGCATTTAACAGTATTGTGTAGTTTTGTGTTGGTTAAGCGCTTGGGCTCTGAAGTCAAACAGGCCTCAAATCTCATGTGACTGGGACAAATTACTTAATTTCATGAAGTCTCGGTCTCTTCATCTGTGAAAAGGGGTGATAATAACACTTTTTTATAGGGTTGCCGTGGCTATTAAATGAGGAATCGCACATAGTTTTTAGAATGGTGGCTGATGCGTGACTTTTATATAATATTTTTTTCCTCTGAAGGTTTTTGCTATTCTGGATGTGAGATTTTTCAGTGTGAATAAGTTCTTGGCTCCATAGGTATTACTAATACCAGTAAGCATTTGAGTACAGATAGAATATTATAATTATCTTCATGGGGCAAATAAATGTTTTTGTGCCAGTAAAAAGTTGGCAATATATTCATAGAAGCCTCAGCAGCTTGATGGTGGTCTAGCTGTTGAATTCTGGGAGTTGGCGGATGTAAAGGACTGGTAAGTGCATCAGCAGGCAAAGAAAGTGGGGTTACTTCTGGTTGCTTCTTTGACACACTTGGCAGTTCTCGGCCTGCTGGCAAGTGTGCCGCATAGCTTTGAGGAAGCCCTAGTCCGGGACTTAGGTGGGTTTATCCTGGGAGGGTGGGGTGTTTACCTGAGGCATGATGGGAGTTGCCAGGACCGGTGTAGTTTCATTCATTTACTGGATTGGCTTCCTATTGGTCACAGTGGCCTCCTTATACGGAGACACATTCTCTGCCCTTGAGGAGTTTTTAGTCTAGTGAGGGGGGGAAAAAAAGGATGCCATTTACCA